CCATTTCAATCAGGGTTAGGGTCAACTCCATTTCAATCAGGGTTAGGGTCACCTCCATTTCAATCAGAGTTAGGGTCACCTCCATTTCAATCAGGGTTGGGGTCAACTCCATTTCAATCAGGGTTGGGGTCAACTCCATTTCAAATCAGGGTTAGGGTCAACTCCATTTCAAATCAGGGTTAGGGTTAGGGTCAACTCCATTTCAATCAGGGTTAGGGTCAAACTCCATTTCAAATCAGGGTTAGGGTCAACTCCATTTCAATCAGAGTTAGGGTCAACTCCATTTCAATCAGGGTTGGGGTCAACTCCATTTCAATCAGGGTTAGGGTCAACTCCATTTCAAATCAGGGTTAGGGTTAGGGTCAACTCCATTTCAATCAGGGTTAGGGTCAAACTCCATTTCAAATCAGGGTTAGGGTTAGGGTCAACTCCATTTCAATCAGGGTTAGGGTCAAACTCCATTTCAAATCAGGGTTAGGGTTAGGGTCAACTCCATTTCAATCAGGGGTTGGGGTCAACTCCATTTCAATCTGGGTTAGGTCAACTCCATTTTCAATCAGGGTTAGGGTCAACTCCATTTCAATCAGGGTTAGGGTCAACTCCATTTCAATCAGGGTTAGGGTCAACTCCATTTCAATCAGGGTTAGGGTCAACTCCATTTCAATCAGGGTTGGGGTCAACTCCATTTCAATCAGGGTTTAGGGTCAACTCCATTTCAATCAGGGTTGGGGTCAACTCCATTTCAATCAGGATTAGGGTCAACTCCATTTCAATCAGGGTTAGGGTCAACTCCATTTCAATCAGGGTTAGGGTCAACTCCATTTCAATCAGGGTTGGGGTCAACTCCATTTCAATCAGGGTTAGGGTCAACTCCATTTCAATCAGGGTTAGGGTCAACTCCATTTCAATCAGGGTTGGGGTCAACCCCATTTCAATCAGGGTTGGGGTCAACTCCATTTCTATTCCCATCCATTCAGAAAGTAAACCAGATTCCAATTCTACATGTTCCTCATTGAAAAGCATTGAAGATAATTGGAATTGGAATTTCAGTGTAGCTGAATTGACTTGAATTGAAATGGAATTGAGCCCAACCCTGGTCTACATACATTCCAACAATATATTTATCGTGATGGCTGTTCTTTGGTGGCGGATCATTTTGTTAGTTTGGTTGTAATCATTATTGTTTTCACGTAGTTCAGTTGGTAGAGCATGGCGCTTGCAACGCCAGGGTTGTGGGTTCGATTCCCACGGGGGGGGGGCCAGTATGGAAAAAAATGTATGAAAATGTATGTACTCACTACTGTAAGTTCCTCTGGATGAGAGTTTCTGCTAAATGACTAAAATGTAAATGCACGAATCTCTTTCACTCGCTGTTCTGTAGGGCTTACTTTTTCTTCAAACTACAAGTCTTAAAAGAAAAAAAACTACAACACCAGATACTGTACAGGGCTGGATGTGAAACATTGTCATATTAAAGTCCGGTCACAAAGAGAGGGTTTTAGACGTAGTTGGGGCACACAGTTGTTATTTTACACCATGAACTGAAATGCTGTCATTATCGCTCATGTAAACTGAAATGCTGTCATTATCACTCATGTAAAGTGATAAGAATACGTTTTAATGGATGGGTACCCAGAAACTTTTCTTTATATGAAAATAATTGTATGGGTTAAACATTTGTGTCTAAAGTGAAAGGTGCAGGAAGGGGTCTTTGAGATCGCCCCCTATTGGTTGGCTAGAGGACAACAGACATGCCTCCATAATATGCAGCTAACTATCTATGACCTGTGCTGTAACCACCATACTACACTGGATTTTGCAGAAGTCAGGAACAGTATTTAAAAATAGAAATGAACATATTAGACATTCAAGATCACATTTCTCAAAAGTATATGTTTTTTTGTGTGATCTCATCATACAGGTCAGAGGAGGGGTATTTGCTTGCATATTTATTATGAAATCACCATATTTGCAACAAAATCTTAAGTTGATTCTTTTTTTTTTTTGAATCGGCATTGATGTAACTTTGAAAGAAACGTTTATTTCACATTGTGATATGTTTTTACAAATATTTAAAAAGACCGGTATGAATTTTCTCTCTACCGATGTCCCAGGATATCAAATAGATGTGTTAATAATATATTTAACAAAAACTTTTTCTTTCTAATTCACATTTAATAGAGACGTTACTAATTCTGGTACTGATCAAATTAAATAAAAAACAATCCCATGAATTGCCAATTGTTCTATCACGTCCATCTCACAGTAGCTGAGCCCTTGGTGCCCATCCACCAGGAATGAATGTGTTTCTGCTGGGGGACAATGGAGGTAACTAGGTAACCCAAATAGCACCCTATTCCCTATATAGTGTTGTACTTTATAAGGCCCCTGGTCAACAGTAGTGCACTATAAAGGGAATAGGGTGTTATTTGGGACACAGGCGGTGTTATTAAAAGGTGACACAACCAAACACACCCTATAAAAAGGGTTCTGAACCATCACATATAGTCATAACCCATATTAACATGTATCAGCAGCAAGCATATTGGGAAAAAAACATGTACCAAGAAGATCTAGTAGGACTATCATGACTGTATTGTTAAGCTGGCTGGTGTGAGAGGCTTGGTTGATGTTCACTCGGATGCTTTTTGACACTTTTTAATTCACACAGACTTGACCTGAGCTGGTATCCATGGTCATTATGGAAGAATCTCAATCTCAATGTGTCATTAATAATAATATGATAATAATATTAATAATAATAATAATATTAATAACAATGTGTCATTGATGATTGGTGTGAATGTCTTTGTGAGCCGTCAGGAGCGTCCTATTGACTGTTGTCATGACCAAACTGGGTGGAATTCAATCAAAGCTGCTATCCAGGTCGAACGTTTGACAGACATCTACTGTATAGCTTTGTCTGTAAGGTAGAGAAGGTGAGCGCATCCCAAATGGCACCCTATTTCCTATTAGTTCACTACTAATGTATATAGGGCCCTGGTCACAAAAGCAGTGCACTATATAGGAAATACGGTGGCATTTGGGACGCAGTCAACGTGTTTGTCCACGGTTATAGTGTGCCTACCAATAAACCCATGGTACCAGAACATCTTTCAGGACTTGATTGAATTCCAGTCAAGATGTTCACATAACACAACACACACCTTGATATCCCCTCATAATGTCACACAACACAACACACAACTTGATATCCCCTCATTATGTCACACAACACAACACACACCTTGCTATCCCCTCATAATGTCACACAACACAACACACACCTTGATATCCCCTCATAATGTCACATAACACAACACACACCTTGCTATCTCCTCATAATGTCACATAACACAACACACACCTTGCTATCCCCTCATAATGTCACATAACACAACACACACCTTGATATCCCCTCATAATGTCACATAACACACACCTTGATATCCCCTCATAATGTCACATAACACAACACACACCTTGATATCCCCTCATAATGTCACACAACTCAACACACACATTGATATCCCCTCATGTCACATAACACAACACACACCTTGATATCCCCTCATAATGTCACTTCTATTTCAAGTAGTTGAATTGTTCATTTTTGATTGTTGGTTGTTGATTTGTTTTGAATTCCTCACTATGTTTTTATTTCAGGGAATAATGCATGAAATTAACCTTAACTTATTTGATTAATTTATGCCAATTTGTTTATTTTAGATTGTTTTGATTTTGGTCAACAACATAATAAAGGAAAGAATTAGAAAAATCCCTTGTTTGGATCTGTAGTGCATTTTTATACATGTTAGATCTATGGAAAATGATATTCGCCCTACACTGTAGCACCGTACTAAAGAGTTAGAGGGAAGTATTTCAAAATTACTTTCTATACTTTTGAAAATTGTACATTTGGGGGGAGGGGAATGGGACCAATAAGCATGCATGGCAGAGAGGGTCACTGATCTACAAATTGCATTGCATTCTTAATAACTAGCCTACTCATTATGACTTGTAGATCAGCGACCGAGCAGAGTTGACGCTCTCAAATACGGTCACTGATTTGCCCCACTACAGCATGGCACACCAGCCCAACACAGGTGCTGCTTCGGTGTCTTCTCTCATTGAGCGGCAGGCTGGGCGCGGCGCTGGACACGTCTTTCTGTTGAAGGCGTTGAGCGGCAGGCTGGGCGCGGCGCTGGACAAGTCTTTCTGTTGAAGGCGTTGCTGTCCATGGTGCTGCATGTTTAGCGTTTCTGTTTATATTGTAGCGGGTATGCTCATCACATTTGTTACTCCCTTTTTATGAATTACATAATAAACATAATGGAAATGTCCCACTAGACGACCCCTACCTGATAGCCTATAGGTCTACTACTACTAACTAGCGTACAAAAAGGAAGCGTTGTTGTTGTAAGCCTGCAATATTGCCACTGTACGGTTAGGCGTTTTCACAGCATACTTCTATTACGGTTGTCGCACACGACCTCAGTCCAACACACAACCTGAAGCTATAGGAGCAAGGTGAACACGTGATTGATGCAGCCGTGCGCCAATCATATCGTAGGAGACCGGAGACATGATTCGTCTGTTGGCACAATTGGCTGGGAATAAAGAAGAGAGAGGGTGGTTTATAGCGCATGCACCGCACGGGGAATTATTAACGACGGAAAGTGGAAGTGAGAAAGGGTTGAGAAAGGAGGAACATATTTGTAATTTCCTAAATGGGAATTGAGATTCTTGATTTAGCCCTGCAGGTAGGTAGGTACCACTACAGAGATTAATGAATGCTGCAACGACAGAGTGAGGCTGTTTTCAGCAGCAGCGACGCTTCGCCGGGATTAGCCCACTAGGCTGCTTAGCTCTCACCGTGGCGGCTTTGTACCCAAGGTGCTGCGACCACCCTCGCGTCCCGGGGCCGGCAGGTGTTGGCTACGAGCTCCGCAGCCTGCACCCTGTGATCCAGGACCAGGTTGCCTCTATGGATCGCTTCAATGGATGCCTCCAAACCCGCTTTTGACAACAGCCTGAGCCCCAGCAGAGGGTACGTCTCGTCTCCTCCTGATGGGTGGGAAACTGAAGCGTTTTGCTGGCCGGAGAATGGCACTGTCACCGGGAACGTCGACGTTGATGCTCCGGCTAGCGGCCCAGGAGGACCGGACCTCTCAGGCTACTGGACCGCCGTGTTCGACTATGATGCTGGGGCGGAAGACGAGCTCAGCCTGCGGAAGGGGGACCTGGTGGAGGTGTTGTCTAAGGACTCGTTAGTGTCCGGGGACGAGGGCTGGTGGACAGGGCTGATCGAGGATCGGGTTGGCATTTTTCCCCAGTAATTATGTCAGCATTGGGAATGGAATCTCTGAGAAGATACGGGACAGAGACACGTCATTGGACGAGTACTCTGATTACGCCGTGCCTCCACTGCACCGTGAGTATTGTATTGTAACAGCCCACTGTCTGCATACCAGAGGTTGTCGTTATCACTCATGTTACAATGTTTAATTGTCCTGCACCTTTATCCCGGTTATCAGGCCACTCCGACAATAGCCCCACTCAGGTTTACTGCTATGTCATCTCGTTGCAATAGGCTACCACTTGATAGCAAAAGAGGTTACGATCTATCTACCGGGCAGTCTAGAATCTGTAGCCTGTAGACCGTCATAATGACTGGCATATTATATTCTCTCTGTCAAGCAAGGCCTTGAGCCTGCACCATAGGCAGTACCCCGTCTAGCACATCATATCAGGGCCGCTCGGCTCTTCCCTCTGTACGTACCGATTTGAAGCATCACTGGTACCACTACGCTGAGCTAGCTAGCCCAATATGTGCACTAAAGGAGCCTAACGTTACTCTTTAGTCCAAGGACCTTACATGTTCTGTTTAAAACGGCGAATTGGCTCTGGAAGCCAAAACAGCCAAGTACTCCATCTAAACGTGAATCGATTCTCAATTGCGATACGGTTCTAGAAACCGTACCGCTAACGTTACTTTCATATCACATCAAAATAATTTCACGAATGCAAAAAAAAAACACACTTACTGTAAATAGTTTTAACCGGTTTTAACACAGTTGCAGCAGACAGTACCTTTCAGTGACAACATGTTTGTGGAGTCTGTCTTCCGTTTACACAGGTGTTCAGAGAAGCAGATATCTAATTAGCACAGATAGTCCACTCTGTCTTCTGTCTGTTTTCCGTGAACAAGCGCTGTAACATGGAAATATGGCCTTTGGGAACCCTAACCTTTATAAAGGTGTGTATCAATGTAACCATTTGTTTTTTTAAATAAATTATTTATTGCCAATATTAAAGATAAGGAAGGTCCTTATGGTTCCAAAACCGTACCGCAAGAGATGCGTGTTAATGTTCAGACCGAGCGTCACTGCTCTTAACAAAACTCCCAACCAACAGAAGACATCTTCGTCCAATGACTCTTATGTGTAATGTAATGGAACTGAGTCATGATCAAGGGCTAATGCTGGGCATGCACCGATAATGGAATACCCACTGTGTATGTTACAAATGGCATATTTTAAACAGCCACCAGTGAATCTGATAAATGAATAAATCTCAGGTGAAATAAAGCAGCTGTATCTATCTATTGTTAGTCTGTGGTCTGTGTGTCTTTGATCTGAAGCTGGAGAATTCCCTGTCAGGGTCTGTCTTACCTGCATAGTGTCATACTTTAACAGGCATGTTTGGCATCTTCATTTCAACTGTGTGCACCATTGAGCTCCAATAATCACCAGAAGAAACAACATGAAAAGCTCATATTGGAGTTGGCCCAATGGTCAAATTCAACCAGAAATAAATGTTTCTAGCAGAAATACAGAAATCTCACATATGGAAAATCAATCCAACAGAACTGAAAGATCTCAAACAATCACATTAAGCAGGGACCTGCTCTCCTGCCTCCATAGGGCCTGTGTCTGAGGGGTTTATGGTTTCGACCAGTCTCAGTTGTTTGGGTGCAGATTGGTTGTAGCCCTGTACTGTGTCTCCTTTTGGGAACGTATATTTTGTAATGTCCCTGGGAACCTTCACAGGAACCAATTTAGGTGTTTTGGGAAAACATTACTGGTACACTGGTGTAAATACATTACCCAGAAACCTAATGAGAACGTTTGGGGAATGTTCTGTGGTGGTTGTTACAGGTGTTGTGCACAACATTTTAGTGAACGTTAGGAGAACATTCCAAGGATATTTTAATTCTTTTTTAAAAATATAAGATAAAACCCTAACTAGTACTTAATGGGAATCTTAGCTAATGTTCTGGGAATGTACCCGGTTTGCTGGGTATTCCCTACATAGTACACTACTTTTAACTAGAGTCCTATGGGACCTGGTCAAAAGTAGTGCAGTAAATGGGGAATAGGGTGTGGTTTGGGATAAATCCTTCATGTCTCAGAGGCAGCATGGCCGCTGGCCTACTTTCACATCACATACTGTACAACATCTTTAGTGAAATATTTATCAAGGTCAGGCTGCTTAGCAGACTGTTAGTGATTCACCATGTCAACGTTTGCCGCCAACATACAGTACCTACATCACCCATGGACTCTATTGTAAATGGAGAAGTCGTCCTCATCTTACAAAAAAAACAGTTAAGGGCTCTATTCAATCCATATCGTGGAAGTTCAGCTTTACAGCGTGATTGAAATTTTAAAGGCAATTTTTTCCTGTTTCAGCGGAGACTGCATTCATGGTAAACGCTGCGTATGTCGGCTTTATCTGAAATTGCCTTTACATTTATACTGTGGAATCTGGAACGCTTCAGCTTTATGGATTGAATAGAGCCGTAAGTCTCGACCTTCATGATTTCCTGGTGCATTGTAGCCTGGCTACCAGTCTGTTTGTGCCATCATGCCACTTGCCACTCCTTGTCATTCCGGCAAGGAGTTGATATGATACAGTTGAAGTCGGAAGTTTACATACACTTAGGTTGGAGTCATTAAAACTCGTTTTTCAACCACTCCACAAATTTCTTGTTAACAAACTATAGTTTTGGCAAGTCGGTTAGGACATCTACTTTGTGCATGACACTTTGTGCAAACCGAAGAACACCATCCCAACCGTGAAGCACGGGGGTGGCAGCATCATGCTGTGGGGGTGCTTTGCTTCAGGAGGGACTGGTGCACTTCACAAAATAGATGGCATCATGAGGAAGGAAAATTATGTGGATATATTGAAGCAACATCTCAAGACATCAGTCAGGAAGTTAAAGCTTGTTCGCAAATGGGTCTTCCAAATGGACAATGACCCCAAGCATACTTCCAAAGTTGTGGCAAAATGGCTTAAGGACATCAAAGTCAAGGTATTGGAGAGTGCCATCACAAAGCCCTGACCTCAATCCTATAGAAAATGTGTGGGCAGAACTGAAAAAGCGTGTGCAAGCAAGGAGGCCTACAAACCTGACTCAGTTACACCAGTTCTGTCAGGAGGAATGGGCCAAAATTCACCCAACTTATTGTGGGACGCTTGTGGAAGGCTACCCGAAACGTTTGACCCAAGTTAAACAATTTAAAGGCAATGCTACCATATACTAATTGAGTGTATGTAAACTTCTGACTCACTGGGAATGTGATGAAAGAAATAAAAGCTGAAATAAATCATTCTCTCTACTATTATTCTGACATTTCACATTCTTAAAATGAAGTGGTGATCCTAACTGACCAAAGACAGCACATTTTTACTAGGATTAAATGTCAGGAATTGTGAAAAACTGAGTTTAAATGTATTTGGCTAAGGTGTATGTAAACTTCCGACTTCAATTGTAGCACAAACCGATCTGGAACCAGGCTAGGTGCATTGGTGAGAAAGGCAGAGAAATAAAATGAGGTTGATTTGAAGCTCATTTATGGTCATAAATCATTGAATTATGTTTTTGTATAGTGGACGTCTGTTCATGCCAGTCTGTATAGCCCTTTACATTACCTTTAGTCTCTCATTGCTCTCTCTGTCCAATATTGTCTCTTGGTACCCTGTTTCTCCCTCTCTCTGTCCAATATTGTCTCTTGGTACCCTGTTTCTCTCTCTCTCTGTCCAATATTGTCTCTTGGTACCCTGTTTCTCTCTCTCTGTCCAATATTGTCTCTTGGTACCCTGTTTCTTTCTCTCTCTCTCTGTCCAATATTGTCTCTTGGTACCCTGTTTCTCTCTCTCTCTCTCTCTGTCCAATATTGTCTCTTGGTACCCTGTTTCTCTCTCTCTCTCTCTCTGTCCAATATTGTATCTTGGTACCCTGTTTCTCTCTCTCTCTCTCTGTCCAATATTGTCTCTTGGTACCCTGTTTCTCTCTCTCTCTGTCCAATATTGTCTCTTGGTACCATGTTTCTCTCTCTCTCTGTCCAATATTGTCTCTTGGTACCATGTTTCTCCCTCTCTCTGTCCAATATTGTCTCTTGGTACCCTGTTTCTCTCTCTCTCTCTGTCCAATATTGTCTCTTGGTACCCTGTTTCTCTCTCTCTCTCTGTCCAATATTGTCTCTTGGTACCCTGTTTCTCTCTCTCTCTCTGTCCAATATTGTCTCTTGGTACCCTGTTTCTCTCTCTCTCTCTGTCCAATATTGTCTCTTGGTACCCTGTTTCTCCCTCTGCAGTACAGCATACAGTAGGACATACAGTGGGGAGAACAAGTATTTGATACACTGCCGATTTTGCAGGTTTTCCTACTTACAAAGCATGTAGAGGTCTGTAATTTTTATTATAGGTACACTTCAACTGTGAGAGACGGAATCTAAAACAAAAATCCAGAAAATCACATTGTATGATTTTTAAGTAATTAATTTGCATTTTATTGCATGACATAAGTATTTGATCACCTACCAACCAGTAAGAATTCCGGCTCTCACAGACCTGTTAGTTTTTCTTGAAGAAGCCCTCCTGTTCTCCACTCATTTCCTGTATTAACTGCACCTGTTTGATATTGTTACCTATATAAAAGACACCTGTCCACACACTCAATCAAACAGACTCCAACCTCTCCACAATGGCCAAGACCAGAGAGCTGTGTAAGGACATCAGGGATAAAATTGTAGACCTGCACAAGGCTGGGATGGGCTACAGGACAATAGGCAAGCAGCTTGGTGAGAAGGCAACAACTGTTGGCGCAATTATTAGAAAATGGAAGAAGTTCAAGATGACGGTCAATCAGTCTCGGTCTGGGGCTCCATGCAAGATCTCACCTCGTGGGGCATCAATGATCATGAGGAAGGTGAGGGATCAGCCCAGAACTACACGGCAGGACCTGGTCAATGACCTGAAGAGAGCTGTGACCACAGTCTCAAAGAAAACCATTAGTAACACACTACGCCGTCATGGATTAATATCCTGCAGCGCACGCAAGGTCCCCCTGCTCAAGCCAGCGCATGTCCAGGCCCGTCTGAAGTTTGCCAATGACCATCTGGATGATCCAGAGGAGGAATGGGAGAAGGTCATGTGGTATGATGAGACAAAAATATAGCTTTTTGGTCTAAACTCCACTCGCTGTGTTTGGAGGAAGAAGAAGGATGAGTACAACACCAAGAACACCATCCCAACCGTGAAGCATGGAGGTGGAAACATCATTCTTTAGGGATGCTTTTCTGCAAAGGGGACAGGACGACTGCACCGTATTGAGGGGAGGATGGATGGGGCCATGTATCGCGAGATCTTGGCCAACAACCTCCTTCCCTCAGTAAGAGCATTGAAGATGGGTCGTGGCTGGGTCTTCCAGCATGACAACGACCCGAAACACACAGCCAGGGCAACTAAGGAGTGGCTCCGTAAGAAGCATCTCAAGGTCCTGGAGTGGCCTAGCCAGTCTCCAGACCTGAACCCAATAGAAAAATCTTTGGAGGGAGCTGGAAAGTCCGTATTGCCCCGCGATAGCCCCGAAACCTGAAGGATCTGGAGAAGGTCTGTATGGAGGAGTGGGCCAAAATCCCTGCTGCAGTGTGTGCAAACCTGGTCAAGACCTACAGGAAACGTATGATCTCTGTAATTGCAAACAAAGGTTTCTGTACCAAATATTAAGTTCTGCTTTTCTGATGTATCAAATACTTATGTCATGCAATAAAATGCAAATTAATTACTTACAAATCATACAATGTGATTTTCTGGATTTTTGACCTCTACATGCTTTGTAAGTAGGAAAACCTGCAAAATCGGCAGTGTATCAAATACTTGTTCTCCCCACTGTAGGTCTCTCTGTTCCTCCATCTCTCCTTTCAGTTCTGGAGGTTGACTCTCTCTGTCCTATCTATGTTGTATGTAAGTTCTCTGTCCCCACTGTTCCTGTCATCTTTATGTTGTTTGCCCCCTCTTCCTCCTCCTTCTCTCCTCTCAGCGGTGGAGAGGAGGGTCTGTTCCATAGAATTAGGAATGACAAAACTAAAATGGACATGAACCTTCTTATGATGTGATAAAGGTCAGCCGTTTTGGTCAGGGAGTTGGTCAACCATGGTTTGCCAGTGCTGTGATAAGATATTGTGTAAAATAATGAATTTGAAGACTTTATCTGCACTGTATGTTTGTTAGCTAGCCTGCCAGTTTTAGAGGAATGATTCCATACATTTTTTCCATTAACTGCCAATATGCCAACATTCGATTCAAACAATGCAGTCAATCCACAACCATAGACTAGTTGAAATCAGTTGATATCGTATCATATAATAGGACTCACAGCTTTCCAAGACAACAAACATTTAGACATACAGTACCAGTCAAAAGTTTGGACACACCTACTCATTCAAGGGTTTTCTTTATTTTTACTATTTTTTACATTGTAGAATAATAGTGAAGACATCAAAACTATAAAATAACACATATGGAATCATGTAGTAACCAAAAAAGTGTTAAAGAAATCAAAATATATTTTATATTAAATTTTCTTCAAATAGCCACCCTTTGCCTTGATGACAGCTTTGCACATTCTTGGCATTCTCTCAACCAGCTTCACCTGGAATGCTTTTCCAACAGTCTTGAAGGAGTTCCCACATATGCTGAGCACTTGTTGGCTTCTTTTCCTTCACTCTGCGGTCCAACTCATCCCAAATCATCCCAATTGGGTTGAGGTCGGGGGATTGTGGAGGCCAGGTCATCTGATGCAGCACTCCATCACTCTCCTTCTTGGTCAAATAGCCCTTACACAGCCTGGAGGTGTGTTGGGTCATTGTCCTGTTGAAAACCAAATGATAGTACCACTAAGCCCAAACCAGATGGGATGGCGTATCGCTGCAGAATGCTGTTGTAGCCATGCTAGTTAAGTGTGCCTTGAATGCTAAATACATCACAGACACCAAAGACACGGCGGTTTGAACCAAAAATCTAAAATTTGGACTCCAGACCAAAGGACACATTTCCACCGGTCTAATGTCCATTGCTTGTGTTTCTTGGCCCAAGCAGGTCTCTTATTATTATTGGTGTCCTTTAGTAGTGGTTTCTTTGCAGCAATTAGACCACAAAGGCCTGATTCACACAGTCCCCTCTGAACAGTTGATGTTGAGATGTGTCTGTTACTTGAACTCTGTGAAGCATTTATTTGGGCTGCAATTTCTGAGGCTGGTAACTCTAATGAACGTATCCTCTGCAGCAGAGGTAACTCTGGGTCTTCCATTCCTGTGGCAGTCCTCATGAGAGCCAGTTTCATCATAGCGCTTGATGGTTTTTGCGACTGCACTTGAAGAAACTTTCAAAGTTCTTGAAATGTTCAGTATTGACTGACCTTCATGTCTTAAAGTAATGATGGACTGTTGTTTCTCTTTGCTTATTTGAGCTGTTCTTGCCATAATATGGACTTGGTCTTTACCAAATAGGGCTATCTTCTGTATACCCCCCCTACCTTGTCACAACACAACTGATTGGCTCAAATGCATTAAGAAGGAAAGAAATTCCACAAATTAACTTTTAAGAAGGCACACTTGTTAATTGAAATGCATTCCAGGTGACTACCTCATGAAGCTGGTTGAGAGAATGCCAAGAGTGTGCAAAGCTGTCATCAAGGCAAAGGGTGGCTATTTGAAGAATCTCAAATATAAAGAAAAACCCTTGAATGAGTAGGTGTGTCCAAACTTTTGACTGGTAGTGTATATGGTCTGTTTAAATATATTCTAAAAGCTATTTACACGGAAATTTGGTCTAAAACCTGTATAAACTGTATTCATAATTTCTATGACAATATTTTAGGTTGACAATTTTATTACACAATTTCTGATGTATCCTTACTTTTGTTTTCCTGCTTAGGTAAAATCAGAGTTCTGCCTCTACTGTCATTCATTCCAATTAGACTGGTTTGGATTCCTCGCTGACCAATATGGCTGCCATTTTCACCCCATTCTGGAACTTTGAGGGTTTATGACATATCCCCTCTAGTAATTTAATAGGGTCTCTATGGTCTGTTCATATCACACTATATATATTCCAATATCACCGTTTGTCTCATTGCTCACTCTCTGTCCTCTTTCTCTGTACCCCTGTTTCCTCTCATACCCTGTTCCTTCTCATTCATACCCTGTTCCTTCTCATTCATACCCTGTTCCTTCTCATTCATACCCTGTTCCTTCTCATTCATACCCTGTTCCCTCTCTCCCTCAGTTCTCGAGATTGACTTCTCGGAGCTGACCCTGGAGGAGATCATCGGGGTGGGTGGTTTTGGGAAGGTGTACCGTGCCATGTGGCGGGGGGCGGAGGTGGCGGTGAAGGCTGCGAGGCGGGACCCCGATGAGGAGGAGGGACAGATCCTAGAAAGCGTTCGTCAGGAGGCCAAGCTGTTTGCAATGCTGCACCACCCCAACATCATGGCCCTACTGGGGGTAAGAATCCTGCTGTATCACCCCAATATCATGACCCTACTGGGGGTAAGAATCCTGCTGTATCATCCCAATATCATGGCCCTACTGGGGGTTAGAATCCTGCTGTATCACCCCAATATCATGACCCTACTGGGGGTTAGAATCCTGCTGTATCACCCCAATATTATGTCCCTACTGGGTGCTACTAGGGGTCAGAATCCTGCTGCACATCCCAATATCATGGCCCTACTGGGGGTAAGAATCCTGCTGCACCATCCCAACATCATGGCCCACTGGGGGTAAGAATCCTGCTGCACCATCCCAACATCATGGCCCTACTGGGGGTTAGAATCCTGCTGTATCACCCCAACATCATGGCCCTACTGGGGGTAAGAATCCTGCTGTATCACCCCAATATCATGGCCCTACTGGGGGTAAGAATCCTGCTGCACCATCCCAACATCATGGCCCTACTGGGGTAAGAATCCTGCTGACCCCAATCACCACAATCTAATCCCAATCATGGCCCTACTGGGGGTCTAGTAATGAGATATGGACCCCTAAAAATCATGGCCATACATGGGAAAGAATCTCATGCACCTGTTCCAAGGCCCTGTCAAAGTGCCTATGGGAATGGTGGATTGGGATGCGCCTATGCTTCCAACCCCACTGAAACTAGGTGCACTGGAACACTATACACTGGGTGATGAAGACTTCCTGGTGATAAGTATCACCTGGGTGAGAAGACTTCAGCTGGGTTGAGTAAGACGTCACCTGGGTTGATGAAGACTACACCTAGTTGATGAGCGTTCACCTGGGTTGAGAGATTCACTGGTGATGAGACGTCACCTGGTGATAAGACGTTCACTGGCTTATGAAGATCACCTGGTGAGAATACGGTGATGAAGTACTTCACCTGGTTGATGAAGACGTTCACCTGGTGATAAGAGTTCACTGGGTTGATGAAACTTACTGGGTGATGACATTCTTGTTGATGAGACATTCACCTGGTTGATGAAGCTCCACTGGTTGATGAAGACGTTCACCTGGGTGATGAAGATTTACACCTGGGTTGATGAAGACGTTCACCTGGGTTGATGAAGACGTTCACCTGGGTTGATGAAGACGTTCACCTGGGTTGATGAAGACGTTCACCTGGGTTGATGAAGACGTTCACCTGGGTTGATGAAGACGTTCACCTGGGTTGATGAAGACGTTCACCTGGGTTGATGAAGACGTTCACCTGGGTTGATGAAGACGTTCACCTGGGTTGATGAAGACGTTCACCTGGGTTGATGAAGACGTTCACCTGGGTTGATGAAGACGTTCACCTGGGTTGATGAAGACGTTCACCTCGGTTGATGAAGACGTACACGTCACAATAATGAGAACAATAAACATGCATAGCATTTTTCTGAACCCCAATAATCAGCATTCCTGTATGTTTTAGATGTGTAAATGGATCAAATATTTCAGCTTCTATTGGTACTATGTACTGTACTGATTCCTGATTGGTTGATTTCCATTCTCCTTGTTTAACAGGTGTGTCTCCAGGAGCCGACACTGTGCCTGGTGATGGAGTTTGCCCGGGGAGGACCGCTGAACCGAGCCCTGTCAGGGAAACGTATCCCACCATGCACCCTGGTAGACTGGGCCGTGCAGATCGCCCGTGCCATGCACTACCTCCACTGCGAGGCCATCGTCCCCATCATACACAGAGACCTCAAGTCTAGCAACAGTAAGAGAAAGTTTCCTTATGTGACATGGTAATAACATGGGCATAACATGGTAATAACATGGTAATAACATGGGCATAACATGGTAATAACATGGTAATAACATGGGCATAACATGGTAATAACATGGTAATAACATGGGCATAACATGGTAATAACATGGTAATAACATGGGCATAACATGGGCATAACATTGCATTAAATCACTTGTGTTGCACATAGCCGTGGGAAGAGGAAGTTTTGTGTTTTTAGTTTATGTTTTGAGTAGGGGGGTTCTGACCGCGGGGGGGGGGGGCGTAGGCTGAGCATAGGATAAGATTGGGTAAAAGTAGTCACTGCAGCTGAAGTTAATTTAACTCATGACTGTTTGCAAAACAAAATAGACCGTTATGAACAGAGTGCACATTTCTACTGCATAATTACAACGTGTGTGTGTGTGTGTGTGTGTGTGTGTGTGTGTGTGTGTGTGTGTGTGTGAAAGAGAAAACAAGAGGGTTGTTGTAACTAAATTAGTAAACCCTATTAACACTGAGCACAGCTATGTGATCCATTGCATAGAAAAGCGCTTACCTCGATCCAGCACCACCGGATGGAAAGCACCACTCACTGGGCCGGGCCCTTAAACACTGTGTTAGACTAGTGGACTGGTACCCTACGTGTTTGACATGGGGCAGGAGCAGGCCTTCGAGCCCGGGGAGAGAGAATAACTTATTTGATATTGGTCCAATTCCCTTTTCTCCAAGTTTAGAATGATAAACTAATAGAAAATAGAACACTGCTCCAGATCACTTTGATATCCATCACAAGGGGGAGACTCAACTCAAACTAAACTGTCTATCGTACAGCAGAGCATGTGTCTGTGGTCCTCTGTAGCTCAATTGGTAGAGCATGGTGCTTGTAACGCCAGGGTAGTGGGTTCGATCCCCGGGACCACCCATACGTAAAAATGTATGCACACATGACTGTAAGTCGCTTTGGATAAAAGTGTCTGCTAAATGGCATATTATTATTATTATTATTATTAAATCCCCACAACTGAATAGATAAGAGCACATCATGAGCGCACCGCTTACAAAACAGAGCTGAGAGCTCTCCAGGCAGAATGGGGCCCAAAACAGAGCTGAGAGCTCTCCAGGCAGAATGGGGCCCAAAACAGAGCTGAGAGCTCTCCAGGCAGAATGGGGCTCCAAAACAGAGCTGAGAGCTCTCCAGGCAGAATGGGGCCCAAAACAGAGCTGAGAGCTCTCCAGGCAGAATGTGGCCCAAAACAGAGCTGAGAGCTCTCCAGGCAGAATGTGGCCCAAAACAGAGCTGAGAGCTCTCCAGGCAGAATGTGGCCCAAAACAGAGCTGAGAGCTCTCCAGGCAGAATGGGGCCCAAAACAGAGCTGAGAGCTCTCCAGGCAGAATGGGGCCCAAAACTGAGCTGAGAGCTCTCCAGGCAGAATGGGGCCCAAAACAGAGCTGAGAGCTCTCCATGCAGAATGGGGCCCATATATAAATATCCTATTTTTTTTCCCTCTCCCTTACCCCAATTCCATTAACATTTATATGAATAATGCATTGGGTCAGCCCTGCAGGATCCCTTAACCCCAAGCCTATTAGACAGGATTTGTCCCATGCTCAGTCTATGCCTTCCTATTGGCTACTTCCAGTCAACACAGGCAGTTTCTCCTCTCCCATTGGCCTGTGGCTTGTGGTTAGCCCGGTCCCTTGGCTGTGATTGACTTGTTTTGAGGTGGTAAGCCAATAGCATCATCAGTTCAGTAAAAGGTGACCGTTCTATCCCAGATACATGCTGTTAATGTACATGAACCCACATCCCCGGGGAATCCCCACACCACGTGAGGATACACTTTATTAGGTTGTTTACCTGTAAAATACAGGCGAGGTGAGATTACACTACCCCCCCCCCAGCCCCCGCAAGGCGGGGGGCCCACAAGCTTTGGGGGCCCCAAACCCCCGGAGGTCGGGCCCCCTAGATAGCATATGAACACGTCATAAGCCATTTTTTTATTTTTTTTATCTTAGGTCTCATGGCTGTAATGTTATTAATATCTTTCATAATTCATAAAATATGTGTTTATGTCAAACAGTTTTGTTATATTTCAGTCTTCTGTGATATATATAAAGTGTAATCTTGGGATGCAAACTCAAAATGTAATACATTTCAACTCTCTATCTGACATGGTACAGGTGTCTTATTGTTTGTAAGGCCATAACCATGTGTGTGAGGTGTATACTTTTGTTTCAAAGTAGATTTGTTTAAGACTACAAAGAATCACTCTGTGTGACCCTGACTTAGCCCACTGCAGTAAAAGGTGATACAAACACATTTGGAATCACCATGGTGACAACAACCATAAACTGTCAACCATCTGCCTGATAGATTAAGATAGAATATGAATTTTGGTTCAAATATGTTAAATTAAATTAGGTTTTAGAGTCATAAAGCCACTGCGGAAAAACTAAATTGCTGTGTATACCAGTTGAATGAATACATTTTTTGGGGGGGTTGTCAACTCTGTAAAACATAAATTCCGTCAGAGTGCTGAAAGATCTGATATAATGGTTATGTTTTTATTGGGGATTATCAAATGAATAATTTTCAATATTTTACAAATGTTTGTATTTAACTTTTATTTTGAGGCAAAAATATGTCTATTTTGAGTATCTGTCAACTCCGTCAGCGGCTTGTCAACTTTTCAACTGATGGCTAACCCCCTTAAGATATAATTTTTTTGGGTCAATATTCTGAAAAAACATTTGCTGTGCTAGTCTTAAGAGATAATGTTTGCTTTATAAATGCTGTTTTATGTTCTAAATCTAGAAAAACATGCCAAAATGCAAATGAAATTAGCCATGGATCTGATTTGAATCCTGGCCTCAGTTAATTCAACTGACTGAATTTAGCCTATTCCTCATATTTACATTTACTGGCCCCCCGTGGGAATCGAACCCACAACCCTGGCGTTGCAAACGCCATGCTCTATCAACTGAGCTACATCCCTGCCGGCCATTCCCTCCCCTACCCTGGACGACGCTGGGCCAATTGTGCGCCGCCCATGAGTCTCCCGGTCGCGGCCGGCGGCGACAGAGCCGGGTTAGGCTACCTATATGAAAAGCTAGCAGTAGACCCACATAACTACTCCCAGCCCCAGAGCCGGGTTAGGCTACCTATGTGAAAAGCTAGCAGTAGACCCACATAACTACTCCCAGCCCCAGAGCCGGGTTAGGCTACCTATGTGAAAAGCTAGCAGTAGACCCACATAACTACTCCCAGCCCCAGAGCCGGGTTAGGCTACCTATATGAAAAGCTAGCAGTAGACCCACATAACTACTCCCAGCCCCAGAGCCGGGTTAGGCTACCTATGTGAAAAGCTAGCAGTAGACCCACATAACTACTCCCAGCCCCAGAGCCGGGTTAGGCTACCTATATGAAAAGCTAGCAGTAGACCCACATAACTACTCCCAGCCCCAGCTCCAGCCTGTAGTCTGTAGTCTGCAGACACACCCTTGCATCCCAAATGGCACATTTATTCCCTATGTAGTGCCATTTGGGATGCATACAGCCACAGCAGATGGAGAACATAGACTTTGGATGTTGTATTTAGGGACTGGGTGGTGTATATGGGGACTGGGCGGTGTACATGGGGACTGGGCGGTGTACATGGGGACTGGGGGGTGTACATGGGGACTGGGGGGTGTACATGGGGACTGGGCGGTGTACATGGGGACTGGGGGGTGTACATGGGGACTGGGCGTGTACATGGGGACTGGGAGGTGTACATGGGGACTGGGCGGTGTACATGGGGACTGGGGGGTGTACATGGGGACTGGGCGGTGTACATGGGGACTGGGCGGTGTACATGGGGACTGGGCGGTGTACATGGGGACTGGGCGGTGTACATGGGGACTGGGCGGTGTACATGGGGACTGGGGCGGTGTACATGGGGACTGGGGGGTGTATATGGGGACAGGGCGGTGTACATGGGGACTGGGGGGTGTACATGGGGACTGGGCGGTGTACATGGGGACTGGGGGTGTACATGGGACTGGGCGGTGTACATGGGGACTGGGGGGGTGTATATGGGGACAGGGCGGTGTACATGGGGACTGGGGGGTGTACATGGGGACTGGGCGGTGTACATGGGGACTGGGCGGTGTACATGGGGACAGGGCGGTGTACATGGGGACTGGGCGGTGTACATGGGGACTGGGGCGGTGTACATGGGGACTGGGGGGTGTACATGGGACTGGGGGGTGTACATGGGGACTGGGCGGTGTACATGGGGACTGGGGGGTATACATGGGGACTGGGGGGTGTACATGGGGACTGGGCGGTGTACATGGGGACTGGGGGGTGTACATGGGGACTGGGCGGTGTACATGGGGACTGGGCGGTGTACATGGGGACTGGGCGGTGTACATGGGGACTGGGCGGTGTACATGGGGACTGGGCGGTGTACATACTGACCTAGTAGTAGCACCCTGTGTTCATACAACCAGTCTGTGTCGGCATTTCACCTGTGTGTGTCAGATGAGGCTGGTGGGAGGAGCTATAGGAGGACAGACTCATTGTAATGGCTGGAATGGAATCAATGGAACGTGTTTAACTCCATTTCATATATTCCATTCCAGACCTTACAATTAGCCCTCCTATAGCTCCTCCCACCAGCCTCCCCGTGTGTGTGTGAGTGTGTGTGAGTGTGTGAGTGTGTGAGTGTGTGAGTGTGTGAGTGTGTGAGTGTGTGAGTGTGTGAGTGTGTGTGTGTGTGAGTGTGTGAGTGTGTGAGTGTGTGAGTGTGTGAGTGTGTGAGTGTGTGTGGAGGCTGCTGAGGGGAGGACAGCTCATAATAATGGCTGGAACAAAGCGAATGGAACGGCATCGAACACCTGGAAACCATGGAAACCATGGAAACCATGTGTTTAATGTATTTGATACCGTTACACCTATTCCACTCCAGCCGTTACCACGAGCACGTCCTCTCCAATCACGGAGCCACCAAGCTCCTGTGCATGGGTGTGATGCATAGACTCGGAAGGACAAAGTGAAAACTCCACATTAATCTGTGTTTCTGCCTTCTGTCATTCTCTCCTTTCATCTCATTCGCTTATCTCTGTTGTTCCTATCTCTTTTCCTGCCTGCTCCTCTCTCTCCTTTCATCATGGCCCCTCCTTGTTTCCCTGTTGTCCCTATCTTGTTTTGTGGAAACACTTTTAATCATCTCTATTTGAATGACTGCCTGCTATCCTGCCACCACCAAAACCCCAAATGACCTGTATCCCTTTACGTTCAAACCCCTCCTACCTTCCAACACACCCATGTTACCGTTCTCCCCCACCCAAAACCCTCCTCATCACCCGTCCTCTCCCGGTCATCACTCCCTCACCACCAACACCTCTCCTGGATCTTGACCTGCGACCTCCGACCAGTCCTGATCCTGGAGAAGGTAGAGATGGAGGACCTGACCAACAAGACCCTGAAGATCACAGACTTCGGCCTGGCGAGGGAGTGGCACCGCACCACCAAGATGTCAGCCGCGGGCACCTACGCCTGGATGGCACCGGAGGTCATCCGCTCCTCCACGTTCTCTAAGGGCAGCGACGTCTGGAGGTGGGCAGGGCCAGGGGCCGGGATAGGAAGTGATGCGTCAGGAAACTGTCTGTTCTATCTCACTTAGATCTAGAGGGCTGGATGAGTCATTTATTCATGCTCTGGATCTGGTAAAGCATTGCAGTAGTAGTATGATGGCTGCACCCAAATAAGGAACCAACGCTATAATCCGTTTCCAACAAGAGATAATTGTGATCGTCTTTATCATCGTCTAAAGTATAGAATAGCCTAGCCACATCAGATCTGATAAGGCAAGGATTTAGTTCCATCGCGCTTTGTCAGCTATGCGCCATTTGAAGGTCATTTCCCATTCAGCCGGCATGTGCAGCATTTACCATGCTTGCAGTCTCCGCAAAACGCTGGAATATTGGCTTTATAAAGGTGCATAGCCGACCAAAGCACCATCGGATTGAATCCTGGCCTAAGTTAGGGAGGAAGATTCGAAATCTGTTGTTTTTGTGTGTTATCTCATGCACTCATCTCGCTGTACTGTCAGGCCGGAAGCAGGACTTTCTATGTTGCAACGCACTCTCATGGCTTATCATTGACCATGCCAGGTGGCTTGTGTCCAGCCCTTGTTTTAGTGTGAAATACCTGCCTGGCTGGAGGTGTGGAGGTAGTTGGAGGCTGTGGACAGGGCTGGCCCTGTCCCCTGTCTCTCTGTGGTGCCATAATGCCACCCCCGAAGTGATTAATTTACAATATTAACATAATTAAAACAATAAGAATATTTTTATTCTGTACAGGCTTCCTTCTTTTCACTCTGTCAATTAGGTTAGTATTGTGGAGTAAACTACAATGTTGTTGATCCATCCTCAGTTTTCTCCTTTCACAGCCATTCAACTCCGTAACTGTTTTAAAGTCACCATTGGCCTCATGGTGAAATCCCTGAGCGGTTTCCTTCCTCTCCAGCAACTGAGTTAGGAAGGACGCCTGTATCTTTGTAGTGACTGGGTGCATTGATACACCATCCAAAGTGTAATGAATAACTTCATCATGCTCAAAGGGATATTCAATGTCTTCCTTTTTTTTTTTTTTTTTTTTTTTTTTACCCATCTACCAATCGATGCCCTTCTTTATGAGGCATTGGAAAACCTCCCTGGACTTTGTGGTTGAATCTGTGTTTGAAATTCACTGCTTGACTGAGGGACCTTACAGATAATTGTATGTGTGGGGTACAGAGATTAAGTAGTCATTCAAAAATCATGTTAAACACTATTATTGCACACAGAGTGAATCCATGAAACTTATTATGTGACATTGTTACTCCTGAACTTATTTGAGCTTGTCATAACAAAGGGGTTGAATACTAATTGACTCAAGACATTTCAGCTTTACATTTGTAATTAATTTGTAAAATGTTCTAATAACATAATTCATTATGGGGTATTGTGTGCAGTGACATAGAAAAATTAAAGAAAACATTTTTAAATTCAGGCTGTAACACAACAAAATTTAGAAAAAGTAAAGGGGTGTGAATACATTCTGAAGGCATTGTATATTTTGTACCAATTGAGAACTTTGGTCTAATTCCCTGAAATCTGGATCTTCTCTGGAAAATCATAATTGTAGTCTTTTTGGGGTTTACTGCCAGGGCCCAGGTCTGGCAGTACTGCTCTAGCAGGTCCAGGCTCTGCTGTAGGCCATGTGCTGTGGGTGACAACAGCCACAGGTCATCTGCGAAGAGCAGGCATTTATCCTCTGAATTGTGGAGACTAACAACAGGGGCTGAGGATGTTTCTAGAACAGTGGCCAATTCATTGATGTAAATATTGAAGAGCGCAGGGCTCAGATTACAACCCTGGCGAAGGCCCCGCCCCCTGGTTAAAGAATTCCGTTCTTTACTTGCCATATTGATTTAATTATGTGATATGTTTTACCCCCTACTTTCAATAACTTTGTAGAACAGTCCATTTTGTTATTATTTTGGTGGACATGTTTATCTATCAGGGTCTGTCTGTAGGGTGTAAAATATGATCGGTCGTGCGACATTTTGGTATAAATCCAATTTGGCTTTTGCTCAAGATATTGTGCTTATTAAGGAAGTTTAGAACTCTCTCTCTCTCTGTCCATCAGCTTTCTGCTCACTGCCAGCTATTCTCTCTGCTGGCTATTCTCTCTGCTGGCTATTCTCTCTGCTGGCTATTCTCCCTGCTGGCTATTCTCACTGCTGGCTATTCTCACTGCTGGCTATTCTCTCTGCTGGCTATTCTCTCTGCTGGCTATTCTCTCTGCTGGCTATTCTCCCTGCTGGCTATTCTCACTGCTGGCTATTCTCACTGCTGGCTATTCTCTCTGCTGGCTATTCTCTCTGCTGGCTATTCTCTCTGCCGGCTATTCTCTCTGCCGGCTATTCTCTCTGCCGGCTATTCTCTCTGCTGGCTATTCTCTCTGCTGACTATTCTCTCTGCTGGCTATTCTTCTGAATTCTGCCATTCTGTTTCCTGCTGATACCGACAAAAGAAAGATAGAAAGAGGAATGTAAGCTTATAAAGCTTAGGGTTGCAAAGTTCCTGTAGCTTTCTCAAAATTCCCAGGATTTCCAGAAATTCCAGGATTTCTGTTTTCTGTTTCCATAACTCCTTTTCTTCCCTCTCTTTCCTGATCTGTTCCTCCTGACCGTCCTCTTCCTCCTCTTCCTCATCTCCTCTCCCTTCCTCCTCTTCCTCCTCTCCTCTCCCTTCCTCTCCCTCCTCTTCCTCCTCTCCCTCCTCCTCTTCCTCCCTCCTCTTCCTCCTCTCCTCTCCTCCCTCCTCTTCCTCCTCTCCTCTCCCTTTCTCCTCTCCCTCCTCTCTCTTCCTCCTCTCCTCTCCCTCCCTCCTCCTCTCCTCTCCCTTCCTCCTCTTCCTCTCTCCTCCCCCTTCCTCCTCTTCCTCCTCACCTCTCCCTTCCTCCTCTCCTCTCCCTCTCTCCTCTTCCTCCTCTCCCTTCCTCCTCTTCCTCCTCTCCTCTCCCTCCCTCCTCTCATCTCCTCTCATCTACTCTCCCTAGTTACGGGGTTCTACTGTGGGAGCTGTTGACAGGAGAAGTCCCATTCAGGGGTATTGATTGTCTAGCGGTGGCGTATGGAGTAGCCATGAACAAGCTGGCCCTGCCCATCCCCTCTACCTGCCCAGAGCCCTTCGCCCGTCTTATGGAAGGTAAGATGAGGTGCTTTTTGTTAGGGCGGCAGGTAGCTTAGTGGGTAAGAGCATTGTGTCAGTAACCGAAAGGTCGCTGGTTCTAATCCCCGAGCCGACTAGGTGAAAAATCTGTCTGTGCCCTTAAGCAAGGCACTTAACCCTAATTGCTCATGTAAGTCGCTCTGGATAATAGCGTCTGCTAAATGACTAAAATGTAAATGTATTCTTAATGCACATGTGTTTGGGCATGAGGCCACCAGCCACCTATTTGTTGAGAACGTAAACCTTATAGATGATTAGATGTTGAGGTAGGTAAATAGAAATATCCATCTCCGTCCTGATCCATAATCCATAGATAGATTGATATTTGTACAAAAATAAATTATAACTTATTTCCATTGAGGTCGTCTGTAGATCCGTTGAGTGCCGTCAGTGTATATATATATATATATATATATATATATAAAACTCAGCAAAAAAAAGAAACGTCCCTTTTTCAGGACCCTGTCTTTCAAAGATAATTCGTAAAAATCCAAATAACTTCACAGATCTTCATTGTAAAGGGTTTAAACACTGTTTCCCATGCTTGTTCAATGAACCATTTCTACTGACTCTGAAAAAACACCAAAAGAAAGATGCTCATCTGTGTGAACGTGCCTTATGCATGCTGGAGGAGGCATGAGGACTGCAGATGTGGCCAGGGCAATAAATTGCAATGTCCGTAGTGTGAGACGCCTAAGACAGTGTTACAGGGAGACAGGACGGACAGCTGATCGTCCTCGCAGTGGCAGACCACGTGTAACAACACCTGCACAGGACGGTACATCCGAACATCACACCTGCAGGACAGGTACAGGATGGCAACAACAACTGCCTGAGTTACACCAGAAACACACAATCCCTCCATCAGTGCTCAGGACTGGTCCGCAATAGGTGAGAGAGGGCTGGACTGAGGGCTTGTAGGCCTGTTGTAAGGCAGGTCCTCACCAGACATCACTGGCAACAACGTCGCCTATGGGCACAAACCCACCGTCGATGGACCAAACAGGACTGGCAAAAAGTGCTCTTCACTGACGAGTCGCGGTTTTGTCTCACCAGGGGTGATGGTCGGATTCGCGTTTATCATCGAAGGAATGAGCGTTACATCGAGGCCTGTACTCTGGAGCGGGATCGATTTGGAGGTGGAGGGTCCGTCATAGTCTGGGGCGGAGTGTCACAGCATCATCGGACAGAGCTTGTTGTCATTCCAGGCAATCTCAACGCTGCGCGTTACAGGGAAGACATCCTCCTCCCTCCTTCCTGCAGGCTCATCCTGACATGACCCTCTAGCATGATAATGCCACCAGCCATACTGCTCGTTCTGTGCATGATTTCCTGAAAGACAGGAATGTCAGTGTTCTGCAATGGCCAGCGAAGAGCCCGGTTCTCAATCCCATTGAGCATGTCTGGGACCTGTTGGATCGGAGGGTGAGGGCTAGGGCCATTCCCCCCAGAAATGTCCGGGAACTTGCAGGTGCCTTGGTGGAAGAGTGGGGTAACATCTATACAGTGGGGGGAAAAAAGTATTTAGTCAGCCACCAATTGTGCAAGTTCTCCCACTTAAAAAGATGAGAGAGGCCTGTAATTTTCATCATAGGTACACGTCAACTATGACAGACAAATTGAGAGAAAAAAATCCAGAAAATCACATTGTAGGATTTTTAATGAATTTATTTGCAAATTATGGTGGAAAATAAGTATTTGGTCACCTACAAACAAGCAAGATTTCTGGCTCTCACAGACCTGTAACTTCTTCTTTAAGAGGCTCCTCTGTCCTCCACTCGTTACCTGTATTAATGGCACCTGTTTGAACTTGTTATCAGTATAAAAGACACCTGTCCACAACCTCAAACAGTCACACTCCAAACTCCACTATGGCCAAGACCAAAGAGCTGTCAAAGGACACCAGAAACAAAATTGTAGACCTGCACCAGGCTGGGAAGACTGAATCTGCAATAGGTAAGCAGCTTGGTTTGAAGAAAGCAACTGTGGGAGCAATTATTAGGAAATGGAAGACATACAAGACCACTGATAATCTCCCTCGATCTGGGGTTCCATGCAAGATCTCACCCCGTGGGATCAAAATGATCACAAGAACGGTGAGCAAAAATCCCAGAACCACACGGGGGGACCTAGTGAATGACCTGCAGAGAGCTGGGACCAAAGTAACAAAGCCTACCATCAGTAACACACTACGCCGCCAGGGACTCAAATCCTGCAGTGCCAGACGTGTCCCCCTGCTTAAGCCAGTACATGTCCAGGCCCGTTTGAAGTTTGCTAGAGTGCATTTGGATGATCCAGAAGAGGATTGGGAGAATGTCATATGGTCAGATGAAACCAAATATAACTTTTTGGTAAAAACTCAACTCGTCGTGTTTGGAGGACAAAGAATGCTGAGTTGCATCCAAAGAACACCATACCTACTGTGAAGCATGGGGGTGGAAACATCATGCTTTGGGGCTGTTTTTCTGCAAAGGGACCAGGACGACTGATCCGTGTAAAGGAAAGAATGAATGGGGCCATGTATCGTGAGATTTTGAGTGAAAACCTCCTTCCATCAGCAAGGGCATTGAAGATGAAACGTGGCTGGGTCTTTCAGCATGACAATGATCCCAAACACACCGCCCGGGCAACGAAGGAGTGGCTTCGTAAGAAGCATTTCAAGGTCCTGGAGTGGCCTAGCCAGTCTCCAGATCTCAACCCCATAGAAAATCTTTGGAGGGAGTTGAAAGTCTGTGTTGCCCAGCGACAGCCCCAAAACATCACTGCTCTAGAGGAGATCTGCATGGAGGAATGGGCCAAAATACCAGCAACAGTGTGTGAAAACCTGGTGAAGACTTACAGAAAACGTTTGACCTGTGTCATTGCCAACAAAGGGTATATAACAAAGTATTGAGAAACTTTTGTTATTGACCAAATACTTATTTTCCACCATAATTTGCAAATAAATTCATAAAAAATCCTACAATGTGATTTTCTGGAAAATAAATTCTCAGTTTGTCTGTCATAGTTGACGTGTACATATGATGAAAATTACAGGCCTCTCTCATCTTTTTAAGTGGGAGAACTTGCACAATTGGTGGCTGACTAAATACTTTTTTTCCCCCACTGTATATACACTATCGGTCAAAAGTTTTAGAACACCTACTCATACCAGGGTTTTTCTTTATTTTTACTATTTTCTACATTGTAGAATAATAGTGAAGACATCAAAACTATGAAAGAACACATGGAATCATGTAGTAACCAAAAAAGTGTCAAACAAATCTTCAAATAGCCACCCTTTGCCTTGATGACAGCTTTGCACGCTCTTGGCATTCTCTCAACCAGCTTCACCTAGAATGCTTTTCCAACGGTCTTGAAGGAATTCCCACATATGCTGAGCACTTGTTGGCTGCTTTTCCTTCACTCTGCCGTCCGACTCAATCCCAAACATCTCAATTTGGTTGAGGTCGGGGGGATTGTGGAGGCCAGGTCATCTGATGCAGCACTCCATCACTCTCCTTCTTGGTAAAATAGCCCTTAGACAGCCTGGAGGTGTGTTGGTTCACTGTCCTGTTGAAAAACAAATGATAGTTCCACTAAGCCCAAACCAGATGGGATGGCATATCGCTGCAGAATGTTATGGTAGCCATGCTGGTTAAGTGTGCCTTGAATTCTAAATAAATCACAGACAGTGATTCTTCTTCTCTCCTCCAGATTGCTGGAGTCCAGACCCCCACCTGCGGCCTCTCTTCACCAGTATCCTGGATCAGCTGACAGCTATAGAGGAGTCGGGTTTCTTCGAGATGCCAGCCGAGTCCTTCCACTCCCTGCAGGACGACTGGAAGGTGGAGATTCAGGAGATGTTCGACCAGCTTAGGGTCAAGGAGAAGGTAGGGGGGGGGATAGGGCTCTTGGTCAGCTTTCAGAAGATCAGAAGCCTCTAACAATGATACAGTGTGTGATAATCTAGCCTGGTTGCAGATTTGTTTGTGCTGTCTTGCCAACTTTTTTTTTTTATGGTTGTTGAACCAGGCTATGGATATGGGGTAGTGATATACTGTAGTGTAATCTATAATCCCCCTAAAAAAAAAAAAAACTCTGACCACCATGGTTAAATCTCCCCTGACCTCTATCCCTTTGTCGTCAGGAGCTGAGGTCGTGGGAGGAGGAGCTGAGTCGTGCGGCTCTGCAGCAGAAGAGCCAGGAGGAGGAGTTGAGGAGGAGGGAGCAGGAGCTGGCGGAGAGGGAGATCCACATCCTGGAGAGGGAGCTGAACGTCATCATCCACCAGCTGTATCAGGAGAAACCCCGCGTAGAGAGCAGGCAGGGCAAGTTCAGACGCTCACGCCTCAAACTGAAGGATGGGAACAGGATCAGTCTGCCCTCCGGTAGGTCTGTCATCAGTAGGACTGGCCAGCAGTCTGATGTCTGTGGGTCTCAAAATGCGGGCCTGGATCCACAGGGGGGGGGGGGGGGGGGCAAAAGGGGGCTTAACCCCCTCAGTTGAAACTTGTGCATCCTCAGTTTGAGTTTTATGTCCCTATATAAAAATAGCAAAAAAAAGTTCAAATGATTGAGTGACAGGTTGGCGCAAAATCTGTATCTCCACTGTGCTGTCAGCACAATGGACAGAGTGCACTGGGGAGGTATGGAAAGCTACTGGCCGGTTAGGTTTGACTCCTTTGGGTTTCCATAAAAAGTGGGAAAAAACACTGCTCATCTGTGGTAGAATAACGTGGTATGCTACGTGAACAACATGGTATACCACGTGAACAACATAGTATACTACGTGAACAAAATAGTATACTACGTGAACAAAATGGTATACTACGTGAACAAAATGGTATACCACGTGAACAACATGGTATACCACGTGAACAACATGGTATACTACGTGAACAACATGGTATGCTACGTGAACAACATGGTATGCTACGTGAACAACATGGTATACTACGTGAACAACATGGTATACTACGTGAACAACATAGTATACTACGTGAACAACATAGTATACTACGCGAACAACATGGTATACTACGCGAACAACATGGTATACCACGTGAACAACATGGTATACTACGTGAACAACATGGGATACTACGTGAGCAACATGGTATACTACGTGAACAACATGGTATACTACGTGAACAACATGGTATACTACGTGAGCAACATGGTATACTACGTGAACAACATGGTATACTACGTGAACAACTTGGTATACCACGTGAACAACATGGTATACCACGTGAACAACATGGTATACCACGTGAACAACATGGTATACTACGTGAGCAACATGGTATACTACGTGAACAACATGGTATACTACGTGAACAACATGGTATACTACGTGAACAACATGGTATACTACGTGAACAACATGGTATACTACGTGAACAATATGGTATACTACGTGAACAAAATGGTATACTACGTGAACAAAATGGTATACTACGTGAACAACATGGTATACTACGTGAACAACATGGTATACTACGTGAACAACATGGTATACTACGTGAACAACATGGTATACTACGTGAACAACATGGTATACTACTGTGAACAACATGGTATACCTACGTGAACAACATGGTATACCTACGTGAACAACAATGGTATACCACGTGAACAACATGGTATACCACGTGAACAACATGGTATACCACGTGAACAACATGGTATACCACGTGAACAACATGGTATACTACGTGAACAACATGGTATACCACGTGAACAACATGGTATACCACGTGAACAACATGGTATACTACGTGAACAACATGGTATACCACGTGAACAACATGGTATACTACGTGAACAACATGGTATACTACGTGAACAACATGGTATACTATGTGAACAACATGGTATACCACCTGAACAACATGGTATACCACGTGAACAACATGGTATACTATGTGAACAACATGGTATACTACGTGAACAACATGGTACACTACGTGAACAACATGGTACACAACGTGAACAACATGGTACACCACGTGAACAACATGGTATACTATGTGAACAACATGGTATACTACGTGAACAACATGGTACACTACGTGAACAACATGGTACACCACGTGAACAACATGGTACACCACGTGAACAACATGGTATACTATGTGAACAACATGGTATACTACGTGAACAACATGGTACACTACGTGAACAACATGGTACACCACGTGAACAACATGGTACACCTCCGCCTGTAATATTTGATTTATAAGGACGGGGTCGAGTTTACAGTTGAAGCTGCTTCACTCAACTCTGCCTCACGCCCCACCACTACAGAGTTTAGTTAGCTGTAACAGGCGTTAGTGTTATTAGCCTATTTTGCTCTAACCAGCTAATCTGCCACTGCCGCAATGGATATCAGAAAATTAAACCACGAGGCTGGCACCAAGCCCGGTAGCGATGATGCTGCCGAGCTCCAGCTAGCTCCGCTTGAAGAGGCTTCCACAAGTGCCGCCGGGATCATGGCTCCACAGCCCCCTCCACCTCCGACTGTTCTTGACGAGCCAGCCCAGGTTAGCCTATAGAATCCTACTATCCTAGCCACAGGTTTTCTGTCCAAAAACATTTTAATAGCAACTGGATCAAAGGAAGAAAGTGGCTGGAATACTCAGTTACTGCGGATGCGTCACTCAATGGTCTCGGCATTTGAACTTTTATGTTTATTGTGGTATAGCGTGATATAAGCAGAATTCAATATAATTCCAAATGCTAGATCCCAAATTACGTATAGCTACATATCGGTACGTTTCATCATAGAAATAGATAGGCTACATTCTATTTCTATGGTAGCCTATTGCTTTTCGTGGTTGTAAATGGAACTGAATTGGAAACGTGTTTATGGAAGGCTGGCATTGCTTAATTGATTACGTGGGTAGAATTTGAGCCACAGAAGTGTATTGTGCCATATCCCAACATAGTGCTGCTGTGCTAATGAGCTGCACGATCTTCCATGTTTGAAGAGGGCCTATAGGCTTATTTGTTTTGGGAAGACATCTGTGCACGGCTGCATCTCACAGTAGTAAGCTGTAGGATATGTTGTGGTTATTTTACATTTGCCTTTTGTTTACTGCGTTTGTTTACTGTTTAATGTAACTAGCCCAAATATAGATTGTGTTAGGGTTGGGCGATATCCAGATTTTCATATCGTCTTACCGTCCTTCTCTCACACCGGGATTTACGGTATTACCGGCTTAGTACACAAGTGGGCACCAAAAAAGCCCATTGGGCATCTATTACCAGAATGCTAACAAAATTAGCACAAGTAATAGCACATTTGCATGGAGGCTGCTAGCTAAACATGGTAACGAGTGAAAATGAAAATAAACAAATTGCAAAGACAGGCAATCCAGCTCATAAAGCTATACATACTGTATATAGGTAAGAGCTACCGGATGTCCATTTTGGTGAGTTTGGACATTTACAAGCGAATGGAACGAGAGACATTGTGCAAATGAACAAAGTTTTGATGCATGCAGTACTGGCTCTCCAGCAGCATGTGTACAAGCTGTGTCTGTGTGGACTCTGGAGTCGTTAGGGCAACTGGCCTGCCTGCTCTGCTTGGAGAAGAGGGGGGAGGAGCAGACGGACTGAGAACAGAGAGGGGGGAAAAAAATGCAAGGAAATCAAGATAGCAGTGGCAGCTGTACAAATAACTCATCCAAAGGGCTTTTGCCTTCTCAAACACGGCAGACAGCCAACATAATATAATGCCCCATCTCCTTATTAATTCAGCCACTTACTTAGATAGGAAGTTAAACTAGGGGTCGTGTTAATGCATAATTCAGCATTTTTCACGCAGGAAAAAAAGATAAAACACATAAGAAATATCTTGCTGCGTTTTGTAAACACAGATCTAAAATGCTTCTTATTGTAATTTCTGCTCGGCATCAGACTCATTTTGTGCTCCAGTTGCTCTTTCTAAACTCGGATGAGAATTCACGTACGGGAGTTCTATCAGCAGACAACACTACAACTGATGTGTAGCTTCTTTTCTCTGGTCCTTTTCTCGGTGTAACCAGACTATTTTTCTCCAGTTAAATGCAAGATTAACTTTTAAGCAAAATATTAGGAAATGTAGCTGGCTACATTCTTTCTATGATAGGCCTAAACATTAGAAATATGATGATTTTTTTTTTGCAAAAAAACACCCCATGCTTTTCAACCTTGTCTCAGAGCATTTAGTATGATATGTTACGTTTCGTATGGTATGTATTAATTTGTGGATGTCCATCCCCCATTTCGTATGATATGTTCCGAATGACAATTGTATTATATGTTAAGATTTTGCAAAATGAACAATATGTTACGAATTTGCTAAACTTATGATATGTTACGAATTCTAGCTAGGTGGCTAACATTAGCTAGCTTGCTAACGTTGGCTAGGCTAGGATTTAGAGTTAAGGTTAGGGTTAAGTTTAGGAGTTAGGTTAAAGGGTTAGGGGACGGGGACGGGTTAGCTAAAAGGGTTAGGGTTAGGGGAAGGGTTAGCTAACATATTAGTAGTTGCAAAGTAGCTAAAAAGTAGTAAGTAGTTGAAAAGTTGCTAAAATACTAAAGTTGTCCGTGATGAGATTCGAACTGGCAACCTTTGGGTCGCTAGACGTTCGCGTTAAATGACCAACCACCCTACTTTCATTTTTACCTTAAGTAACCATCTGTCTTGTGTAACCATACGAATTGTAACATATCATACTTAATGGAGTGATGCGAATTTACGTACAGAATAATACGAAATGCTCTGAGACCAGGTTGTGCTTTTTCATTGTAAGCTCATTTACTTGTGTGGCTGCCATCCAAATAGCATTGCACTTCTGTTGTCATCTGATGAAAAATTAAGCTATTTTATGTGCTGGGAAAACTAAGTAAGCTTCAAAATGTAAAATAATGTGACAAGTGAAATAAGAACGCAATCTGCTTTATCTCCTAATGCATTGCACACGTTGACTGCAGGTATTTACTAACAAATACAGTGGGGGAAAAAAGTAGTTAGTCAGCCACCAATTGTGCAAGTTCTCCCACTTAAAAAGATGAGAGAGGCCTGTAATTTTCATCATAGGTACACGTCAACTATGACCGACAAATTGAGATTTTATTTTCCAGAAAATCACATTGTAGGATTTTTTTATGAATTTATTTGCAAATTATGGTGGAAAATAAGTATTTGGTCACCTACAAACAAGCAAGATTTCTGGCTCTCACAGACCTGTAACTTCTTCTTTAAGAGGCTCCTCTGTCCTCCACTCGTTACCTGTATTAATGGCACCTGTTTGAACTTGTTATCAGTATAAAAGACACCTGTCCACAACCTCAAACAGTCACATTCCAAACTCCACTATGGCCAAGACCAAAGAGCTGTCAAAGGACACCAGAAACAAAATAGTAGACCTGCACCAG